TTAGGGTTGAAGTTGTAAAGTAATTCATATTCAAGTTCAAATTATTACAAAGAATTATAGTTCAAATCTTTGCCTGGTATCTCTAATTGTGTGTTGTTCATAACTTAATAAATTAATTTATATGTATTTTACCAGTAAATTTAATGCTTTGGGCATAGTTAATAGAGGGGACTGGTTAAGAAGCCCGGCAAACATCAAAGGAGTAAAAAAAGACGCCAAAATTTATGTTGGAAAGTCCACAATCTTTTGTTTTGCGCTCATGCACTATGCATGAATTACGTAACTAGCACGTTTCTATTGGTTAGCTCCTCAGTACGGAGTAAACAACTATTGTGTTTTGTGCACTGTCAAGGCCAAAAAAGCGATCGAAAACATACAACAAAGAACTTTTTCGGGTTTCATAACCATTCCCCTCTATTATCTATGCTTTGGGTAACCCTTTAGAGGACTCGTATCCCATCCAGGGTGGGGTGGAGAAACACTCTTAGTCACTTGATGCGACAGAAACTGGGGACATGCGCCGACCTGATGGCCTCTGGATCCTAACGCAGAAAGTGAAGAGAAGGCGCTCTTCATTCAATTAAAAGGAATCTCAAATTGGCTTTCGCGCTTTTTCCCGCGCTAGGGACGTGTTGCATAATTTATGCACTTGCTGAATTATGAACGAAGATTCATAGAGCCAGCTAGCATTCAATCCTTTACTCTCTTAAGAGTGCCATTTGGCACACAACATTAAGACTTTGTGAATATTTGAGACATTTCTATGAATTTTTGGCATGAAAATTGTCTTGTAAAGATCTGCCCATTGAAGACTTAAACTTGTGACCCCCTCCTATCTAAGATATGGTTGACCACCCCCATAATTTTACAATTTCTTTTTTGAGATGCACATGGAATGCAAGACACCCCCATAATTTTACAATTGCTTTTTTGACATGCACATGGAATGCAAGACTTTTTTCACATCAAGCTTTGTACTAAGACCTGCTATATAAGCCACAGTTGGGAGGCACATCTATGATATTTGAGAATTGATAAGTGTTGGAAGCTTTTCATTTTCAAATTTCAGAACAATGTCAACATGACTGCCTCTTTCATAACTACTGATGCCAGTTCGTAAATGAGCTGATCAGTGGCTTTCAAATGGTATTTTGTACACAGACAGAGAGCCTTTTTTGCTGATATAGGAAAAACTGTCGTTTGCCTAAAGGGGTAAAGGGTTAATAGTTCTTGTAGGAACAGCACCT